GGGCTTTAGGGTTAGGGTTTCCCGTGTAATTATGTCTATATATAGTGTCTCTCCTCTTGTAAATTTGAATTTATCTGATTAATCATATAATAGAGAATTCTCTCCAATATCTCGGTCCTAGTTCTCTCTGATTACAATGTTGTTGAACAAGGGAGTGATGGTGAAATCTTATGTGCATCTGAAAGGGATGGAAATCCAACCACAGATTGGACCCTCGATTCAGGGCCAACATTAGTTGGTATTCTACATGTGAGAAGGTTGCATTACAAGGATGGGCAATAAGTTTCATGTGTGATTAAAGGTTAAGGCATAGTAAGTATTCATATGGATGATGGGATTATATGAATCTTCGGGGATGTGAAACATGTTCAAGGTATTGAGAAAATTTTGATATCCCTTAGTTCCCTTGATCAAAAGGGTTATGAGTTTGTTGATAAATGGGAGTTGCGAAGGTTAGCAAAAGGGCTTTAATGCCAATGAAAATGCAAAGAGGCCACCTTGGTTTAAAAATGCGCACATAATACGCTCCGATGCGTGATGCGCTCCGATGCGCTGGAGGTAACACATCAAAGGGGCTGATGTGAAGAGATTCCATGATGCTCTCTAATGCAGTCGCATCACCTATGCACCACATGATGCGTGCATCAACGCATCCTGTATGTTTCATGTTTGGGCTCCTTTTTCATTCTTTAGAGGTTTTTAGTTGGGCTTTTTGTAGACATGGTGTATGTGAAATTCAATCGTGCCTTGCAACGTCAATATAAAAAAGAGGGAAATAGTGATCCTATCATTCTAGAAGAAATAGATGAAACTACTGAGTGGTTGATGGGGATGATGGACAATGATGATGAAGATGATAATTTGGAGTTTATTGATGATGATCTTACGTGGGATGACGTAGGTAGAGCTTCTGGGGCGTATGAGACTCCTCATTTCACTAGAGCATCAAAAGGGAGAGTAAATGATGATGGGTCAAGTGTGTCCACACCCCCCAAACTGACTTTGGGTCCATCAAGAACTAGAAGTGCTAGAGGAAAAGGACATGCTCTTCAGGATGAAGATGATGAAGTTGAGGTGGAAGCAAATATTGGAGGGTTTGATAATGATGAGGGAGATGAACCCGTGTTAGGGTTTGATGATGCTAATGTTGGGGAGTATAAGTTTGTCACTTGGTCATTTAGTTTAGGGATTGGGGACTATTAGATATTTACTTGTGTTCTTCATGGTAGTAGTTTGTGTGTTCTCTTTTTCTGATTCACTAACTTTTTAATATTCTAATGCCACTTTTTGAACTACTTTATGTTATAAATGAAGTATTTTGAGAGGTAAGTATTTTTAAGGTAGAAATTGATATGTAGAATTAATTTATAAGTATTTTTTGAATACCGGGCGCATCACGTGCGTAATGCGAGCGCATCCGCATCGGCTTCCGGGACCCTTACCGCCTCGGACCGCATCGCGTTTTTTAAAACCAAGGAGGCCACATTGTTGGGGGATGCAACTATAATTACAGTGTCTATTTTTTTTATGAAGATCTCACCAAGTTATGGCATTTTCGGCTTAGTCATATGAGCTACCGTATCTTGACAAAATTGAGTTGAAGGAGTTCATTTGGTGGACACAAAGTGAAAGACTTGCAATTTTGTGAGCAATATGTATTTGACAAGCAAAAGAGAGAGAAATCCTTTAGTGGGTGTCTGGCTAAGGTTGCTTCCCTAGGTGGAGCTTCATATATGCTTACTATTATACATGACTATTCCAACAAATTTTGATCATTCTTGATGCAGTAGGAAATCATGAATGGGTTGACAAGCATCAGAACCCTCAAAGGATAGCGAATCTACAAGCATAGAACTCAGGAACTTGAGAGAAAACTCTTAAAACGAGAAATAGAACTCCAAAGATAAGTTTATTGATCAATAGTAAACTTCAAACTGATTTTCCAAGGCTTACAGAGGTCCTATTTATATGCTAAATTATTATGTAGATACCTATTAAATTCAAATCCAATTCTAATTGTAAACAAATTATGAAAGTATCAAAATAATAATTAAAAAGGAAACTAAATAATAATCCTAGTCTACATAGAAAATAATAGATTACTATCTTAAACTAATAAAATAACCAAATAAACAAAAGAAATATGCTTACGACGTGACCTAGCACGCGACTTAAGGCATGGGAGACGTCATGTGAGCAACTGTACATGTTCCAACTTTTGATGTGGATTTTCAAAATTCTTTTGAGCTCGTTTTCTTCTTTCCCAAAGATCTATGAAAAAACTCATTAACTCTTGAGTTCTCCTTACACCTGACGCCCCCAGTTGAAAAAGACTCAACCTCGAGTTCAATCCATCTAAAAATCGACATCATCTGATTTTTGATGCAACTCCGAATCATAGAATATTCGTCTTCAGTACATTCATATCCACAACTCGGCCTTCAAAATTCAAAAAGGTTTCAAGTTCCAAAGGATATTGTCTTCATACATCTTCGAGAGTAGTTCAACATTAAGGCTTCCCCCGGGGGGGGGGGGGGGGAAGCTTAAACTTAAAAAAACAGAAGGTCTATTTGGAGAAAAGGGAGCTTGTACCACGAAAGAATCTCACGTCAAGGTTAGAATTATAAGATATCTTTATAAAGGGGGAACCGGAGTCTCATTCAAAGTAGAAGTCAATACGTATCTTTTTTTTAAGTATATAATATTTATATACGACAGATGCAACAAATAAACTCACACACCCTCATCAACTTTGGTATGGTTTGATCCCCTGACCTCCTAGGAGGTCAAAGGTTGCGATACCGCTAGGCCAAAAGCCCTTCGGTAAGTCAATACGTATCTTGTAACCTTCTACCTGTTATATTTGTCAGATTAATTCGCTACTTGGCAAAACCTCGCAAGTATGTGTAATCATCCGAACGTGAGTAGCGTTGATCGGATTGTAGTAACTTGTCGTGGTAGAAGTTCCAACTTCATAGCACAACAAAAAAGTTCTTCTCATAAAGAGAAAAGTGACCCCATGGTTGAGGAATGCTAGCCTACGCCCAACACCTATAGAAGCTAGCTTAATTTAGACCAACATCAATTCATTAGGTATTGACCATCGAGGCACAAGAGGTGTTGGATTTATTGAAGCAATATGCAAGTCAATTTCAATAATAACATTACCACATTACTAATTCGTATCTTCAACCATATTTTCTTCTTCGATCGTCTCTTCACATCTTGATCTATATTTCCCGATGATACTAGTAGCCCCCACACACATGTACATAGTTGATCGGTATTTCCTAACGTTAACAAATGTCTATTATGTTCTAATTAACTAAATATCTAAATTATGCATACACTTTCGCTCTTCTTAATAATTTCGTACACTCTCATATGATTACGAATTGATTACGGTCATCCTTAAGGAAGATGCAATTCTAGAAAAGTGTCTTCCAAATGCACAACGTAGATATTTCACTAAAACACGAATATCCGCCATATAGTTTCAAGGACAGTGAACTTGCAAACCAGAAGCCAATCTTGTTTGTCTTTTAATATATATATATATATGTATATATATATATATGTATGTGTGTGTGTGTGTAATTTCTTTTACAAATATATAGGAAGGATTGCCCCACACCTTATCCAGTACCAACAGATTCCCCTTATAGATGTAATATTTACTTGAATCTTGGTGGGGTTGGGTGTTTGAGCAGTGGGGAAGGCCATCGAGGAATCTCTGGTTGGTAAGAAGCGACGAAAGCTAAATTCTTCTAAGCATATACGCCATAGAATCCGGGAACAAAAGACAAAAGCAAAATGCAGTAGCTTTTAAGTCTATATAAGTACTTTAACACGGTTTTTTGTTAGATACGATGCCATGATTTTTACTGCAAAATATCCCTAAGCTAGACATGACACCGATGATAAAATGGTCCCAATTCAGGCACATCTTAATCTAGAAAATATGCTTTTCTAATCAATTTGATCCTGTGAAAAGCAGAAAGGACGAAATTGGTATGCAGGTATGCAACTGCGAACTCTCCCTAGTTTCTTGAACTAGCTAGTAATACATTTATATTGACTAAAAACGATTGTCGAGTTGCTTGATGAAGATCTTTGTACCAATGAATTGTCTAACAACCAATGGAAGTCGACAGTTCCACTTACATAATCCAACGCAATATCGTCACCTCCAAACAGTACTATGACTTAATTACTCTTCAAACTAGGAATGATGCTCGATAAGAAATAACAGCCAACTATCAAAACACTATCTACAACTATGCCTAGCAAGTAACATGAATTTTTGGCAACTCGACTATAAATTTTAATAATCTACGACTACGAGATATACACCAAGCGTATACTTCTTAACAAATTGAATTAAAATAACAATTTTAGGAGGCATGTTACAGTGTCCTCATTAGAATTTGATAGCACCATAGAGTGTGTGTGTTTGTGTGTGTGTGTGTGTATGCTGCTAAAAAGGACAGGTTAGTAACATCAAATCAACTAATTAAGTGCATTATAGCTTAGTGCCAACAAAATAGTTACCAATTAACTTAAACATATGAGTGTTTTTCTAATACTCCAAGTGAGAAAACCACAACTATGAAAACCACATCCATCCTATATATATGTATGTATATATATATATATACATATATATATACATACATATATATATATATATATATATGCTTTCCAACCAATATATTAGAGAAATATCCAAAAGTATTATCTGAAAAATACTGATATGGAGTAAAAAGGTAGTGTTTAAAGAGCATATTAACCAACATCATGACATGAATTAACCACATAAAATCCCTACCTGTGATATCAAAATTTACTCCAGAAGAAGCGATGGAAACCCCAATCAATACATGTATGAAGAAATCATATGACAGTCATAGTTGTAGAAACTATTTTTGTTAGAAATAGATGTCAAGAACCCCAAACAAACGACTTAAGAGAACATACATAACATACTATGATTTCATTACCTGAAAATTCATCTTTGATCTGATGCCATTCTGAGAGAAGTATATACATATATATGCTTGCATGCGTCTCAACTCCAACTCCAAGAGAACTGTTCTTCCTTCCACCCCAGCAACGCAGACAGATGTTGTCCTGTATACAGCAAATCAAAACCCATAAATCTTTTTTAAAACCCCCAGACACTATCTCTCTTAACTTATCTGTTTGTTTCAAGCGTGTGTACCTGCAAAAAGTAGGATACTTTATACGAAGAAAACCCTTGTCACAAACCGTATCATCCTTGCTTCACTTCCTTTTCTCGGAAAAAAGATGGAATCCACAACACCCATATGAGTAAAAGGGATTTAAACCGATGAAAACAAGATTAACAGCACAAATAATGATAAAATACTCAGCCATTATTTATGCAGAAGAAAGTACGGGAGAAGGAAACCCTAAAATTGAAAATCAAGACTGTTTTCGGAAAGAGAAAAAGGAAGAAACCGGCTACGAATGTGTGGTTAAGACAATAACAATAATGATTAATTATGAGGGATGGTGAAGAAGTACCTTGTTAATGATTTCGATAAGATCTCACTTCGTCCTAACTCCCAAGTTTATTATTATTATAATAATATCAAAATATGAATTGAGATAAAAACAAATCAAGTAACCAAGCAATCATAAATAGTACTACAAATACTGCAATAGCAAAAGAACCTGTTGGTGGATATATGTGATCTTCTTCTCAGATCTCCTCATTTTGAATCTGTTTTAGGTTTGCAAGAAGCCAAGAAAGTGAAATTTTGGAGAGAAAAAAAGGGATAAGAACAGAGAAAGAACCAAAGAACGGGGAAAAAAAGGGGGGGGGGGGGGGTAGCTATGTGTAGAACTAGTTATCAGAAGGTTGCAGCTTTTTTCCTGTGACAATAGTGCGGTGGTGGTGTTTTGATTGATTGATAGATAGATATAGCCAGGTGTCTCTATTTTCTGTTCCTTTCTCCGGTTTTCCATGCTTCCCGATTCCATAAACATGAAAACACATAAAATACACAAACCCACATGACACATTTCAACTTGCAAACTAAAAAACACATATCGAATCAGAACACACTCACACATACACACAGTGGAAGAAGAAAGAAAGAAGGGCGGGGCTGACAGCAAGAGAAGTGAGCACACGCATAAGAACAAGGGTATAGTCTCTCTATACAAATGCCTGCGTGTGCTCACTCTCTTCTGTCAGTTCTCTACCAAACTCCCTCTTTCTCCTCTCTTAACACACTCCCACCCATTAATTAGCAGCAAGAAGATGATGATGATGATGATGATCTAGAAATATTGCACAGAAATTCACCGCAAAATCATTCTTTGATTGAAACGTGAATCAGTATGTTATGTTAACAGCCATAAAGATTCATGTGGAAACCACTCCAAATCTCTTTATCTATCATCATAACGTTTGAGTTGACCTTGGGATAAACATGGAATAAAGAAAGCTAAAGATTGAGTCAAGAAAATCTTCCAAGGGTGATGTATTTGTGATTGTTTTGGGTTCATTTTATAAAAAGGAAAGATGAAGAATCTGCTTTGTGATTGCATTCTTCCCCCACCACCACCACCATTTTTTATCCCCTCCACTTGTTGCTTATCTTTTTATATGTTGTCATGCGATAATTGATGATCAAGATATCATGTGGTGGGGGATAAATCAAGATTATTGAAGCTTGGAAATACCCTTTTCGATTTAATCTTATGATTAAGCTGGTAATAAATTGGTCCATTGGAGGAGAGAGATGAGAGATTGGGGACATTGGATTTGGGTTGTCAAGATGATATTGGTAAATGTATGGTGGAATGGGTACGTGGTGGAATATGATTGGGTGACAGAGGATGGCGGAGGTTAATGAGATAAAACCGGAGAATCCGGTAATGTAGGCCGTAAATATGGTGGGTCCCGGAGGCATCTGTTCTGTCGCCGGGAAGTTGGACTTTGAAATTCACCTCTATTTTGCGACAATCGAGGGAGACCGCATGTAGGCTAAACACTCAAACTCCCATCACAAACCATTGATATTTTATGGAGCCAATGATATTTACCTTCACATCATCAATATATCATATATTACTCTACAGCCCCTCATACTTTTGGTAGATTTTAGAGTAAATTAAACGTTTGAATAATCCAAATCAATGTTTGTGGTTTGAAAATTTTTAAATTAATCCAAACTAAAATGCAACTCAACTCATTTTAAACCGTACTAGTTAGTTGGGTTAACACTTTAATACATTAAAATATTCTTCTAACATTGAATATGTTGTCAAAAGGCCTTTGTCCCAGCGGTATATGAGTCTTTGGTTTCCTAGGAGGGCAAATGTTCAAACCTCACTAAAAGTAAGGATGGTGTGTAAATTTATTTGTTTTATTCGTCGTATATAAATATTATATACTTCAAAAAAAACTTTGAATATGTTATTTATATACTCATAATTTTTTTCATCATCAACCATTTGATACAATTTATCAATACTTTTTAAATCTTATGTATATAACAGTCAATAAATTTTCTCAATTTATAATAAAGGCTCCACTTTGAAAGATATCTCTTATATGGCCCAGTTGATTACACAGAAATGACTTGTTATTGAACATATATACGAATGAGTTATATGGAGATGGAGAATAGATTGAAAATATGTGTATGTGAAGAGGGTACGTGATAGTGTAATTGTCTAATGTATATATTAATGGAAACTCAACAATCATATTAAATCCAAAAAATAAAAGGATATCGGATTTATCGGATTCATCGGGTTGGGTTGAGTTCAAATAATAGTAATCAAATATCAACTCAATACATACAGTTTGAAAATTTTACAACTCAATTAGATATCGGGTTGTTTCGAGTTGAGTTACTTCACGTCAGGTTGGGTTTGGTTGATCGAGTTGGTCGGGTTTTTGAGCACCCATATTCGTTGTTACCATCTATTGTCAATTCTCGTCCCTTTTTTGAATTAATTATAGTTGTAGTTTTTGTGGTTGTCATTTTATTTCACTTTTGATCTCTTACAATAATTTCTATTAAATATGTTTGTTAACTCCGGAAGTATTTTCATCCTTTAAATATTATTTGTCTTTTTCCTATTTTTCCTCTTAATTATTTTTACTTTTTATGTCACTTCTCAGAAGCATAACCCCCATTCACAACGGTCTTCTTCTCCGATCAAACCTTGCTAACAACCCCACCCTCCCCTTCTGGAAGACCTTCGGCGACAACTCTCACTTTACTCATCTTCTCTGGCGAATCCAACCAAATCAAAATCAAATAATCAGACCCATAAAAGACAAATCCAAATTAAAACCAACAAAATCATCCATATATTGTTCCTTGCATAAGATTACAGTTACACAAAATCAAACCCAAGATGAAGGCTTTGATCTCTTACTCCCATATTCCAAAATGCAAATGACCTTTTCACAAGAGCTCTATATCAAAAACAATTTAAAAATCTTGAATGAAGTACTTTACATTCATTCTTCTTTTTCCTCCCCTCCACTTCACAGATCTTGATCAATACTCAATTTGATTATGGTTTTTTTGTTCCATCTTTCTTGTTTATCATCTTGAAATACCAGAACAAGAAAAGTTACAAAAACAAGATAGTTACAGATATTGGAACAACTCTCTTGTTTCTAAAATTGATTACAAAATAAGAGAGTTACTGTAACACCCTCGAGTTAAGATTGTTTTGGTACCCATTTCTCAATGGTTCAAGTGGAGTTAAAGGTGACATCCACTAACACTACAGGCTCAGAGTCAGCAGGTGTCTTCACTGAGCCTAAAGAAGAGGCTTCAGTGAACTTCTTCACCTTAGTCGTTTTCACAACTTTTGTAGCTGATTTCACTTTTGGTTTATTTTTCAGCCTTAGTTACTTTCTTTACCTTAGCTGGCGGACCAGATTTGGTAGCTAAAAGACACTCACTAGCGATATGAGAAGTTTCACCACAGAGACGACACTTCCTAAAGCTGAAAGAAGCTTTAGGGCCAGTGGAGTCAGAAAGAGAAGAGAGAGAAACTCCAATAATGTCTTTCTCATTTGTTCGAGGAGTAACAGTTGAGGGTTTAGATACCTTAGGTGAAATATTCACTTTTAGCTTAGGCTTAGATCTCTGAAGGCGTTCAGAGACCTTGGTCCCTGAGGAAAAAGGTTTGCAAGCTAAAAGAATAGAACTAGGTCTATTAGACTTGTAGTCATTATTAGGAAGAAAAGGAATGCTAACAATGAGTTTCAGTAGAAGAGTACTGAGAGGAAGATATGTCAGGAATAGAAGAGACAAAAGTACCAAACTTAAGCATGGATTTGTTAGTGACACAATCTTCCTGATCATAGGAGAATCCTATACCACTCTTTCTCTTGGCAGGGACTTGAGCGTTAATAATCTCAGTGGCCTTGATAGAGGTTTTGCACCATCCTTCAATGGTAGCCTTCTTAGTCTTGAGTTCAGCAATTGCTTGTTCACGCTCAGCGATAGCGTGCTCGCATTCGATGCTAATGGTCTAGTTTACAATGACCTGATTCTTAAGTTTTTTCTTAATAATGGTCATCTCTTTGATCTTTGAATAACATCTCTCTAATTGTTCTTGAAGATCAAGATTAAGATTTTCAGATTTGGATTTGCCATTCAAGGCATTGTAAAGATTAACTGTCAGTGTATCTAGTATAGATAGACTATCAAAAGAAGAAGAAGAGAGTTCGTTCAGGGTACATACTTGAGTAGAGTTTGATGGTGAGGGATCAATGGAGGATGATGTCTTAGATGGTTCATTTTTGACATCCTTGGATATGAGAAAAAGATAGGTTGTATCTTCCTCACCCGAGGATGATTCTTCAGAAGATTGTAAAGATCAACCGTCAGTAGAGATGGCCAAAAACCGGTCCCGGGCCGTTCCCAAACGGTCCTAACCTTTCTCATAACCGACCATAACCGGTCCCGGCGTAACCGATCCCGGTCCCGATCAAAAATGATAGGACCGGTCAAGGTACTTCATAACCGGTTATGGGCCGCCGGTTATGGGCCGCCGGTCCCGGTCCCGATCCCAACCGGTCCTTGCATTAAAAAATAAGATTTATTTTTTTATTTTTTTAATGATATATATTTTTAATACATTATAAAATTTACAATTGGGTCACTCAAATACATTTTAAAAATGCGTTTTAATATAATTAAAATTACGTTTTCTTATAAAAATACATTATAAAATTATTTAAAAATACATTTATTTATAAAATTATTTGAATTTTAGGGCCGGGCCGGGCCGGTCCATAGTCGGTCCCATAACCGGTCCCGGTCCCACGAAACTACCAAAATCCTCAACCGGTCCCGGTTTTCAATCCCATAACTGGTCCTTACCTTGCCCGGGCCGGTCCTTTGTCGGTCCCGGTCCTCCGGCGATCCCGAGCAGGGCCGGGCCAATTTGGCCATCTCTAATCGTTAGCGTATCTAGTACAGATAGGCTATCAGAAGAAAAAGAAGAGAGTTCGTTCAGGATACATACTTGAGTAGAGGTTGATTGCGAGGGATCAATGAAGGATGATGTCTCAGATGGTTCATCTTTGACATCCTTGGATATGAGACAGAGATAAGTCGTATCTTCCTCATCCAAGGATGATTCTTCAGAAGAATCAGTCCAGTCATGCTCTTCAGCGACGAGACCTTTGCCTTTACGTTGAAGATTCTTCATCTTCTTGTACTTCTCATTCAGTTTCAGGTATTTGTCCTTTTGAGGCCTGAAGGAGGATGGGAGGTTGGAAAATGGCATCGCAACTTTCCTCGAC